GAGAACATCACCTTGAGGAAGCCTCCTTCCTGGCTGAAGAAGCAGTAGCATCTCGACCTGCCAGCAACATGACACAGGGACAGCAGGTCCTCCATCCTGTTCAGATCATGTGGCAAACCCTACCCCCACCTCCATAGTGTCTGGCAAAGTGTTCACGGAAAGGTCAGAAGCTTTCTGTGACATGCTTGGCCCATGAGCAATACTAACTCTGAGACAATAGAAAATATGTATATTAGTCTCTGCCCCTGCTTTCTGGCACAGGGCTCCTAAAACCCTTTTAATTGCCTAAGTGATAAGAACACTAGGAGCATCATTTGTTCCAATATTTGGTCTTTGACCCTGGTTTCTCCAAAATTTCTTGGGATTCCTGGGTGATAGGAATGTCTTTTGTTCTAATGCGATGACTCTTGATGGACTCCTTGTTAGGGACTTGTTAGGGTCACCAGAAAGACCAAGCCACAGTTAGAAGCTTGGAATTTTGGGGGCACCTGGGTGGCTCATTCGGTTGAGCCTGTTATGATCTCATGGTTTGTGGGTTTGAGCCCCACTTCAGGCTCTGTGCTGACAGCTCAGAGCCTGGAGCCTGTTTCAGATTCTGTGTCTCCCTCTTTCTCTGCCCCTCTCCTGCTCATGTTCTGTCTCTCTCTGTCTCAAAAATAAAATAAACATTTTTTAAAAATTTAAAAAAAGAAGCTTGGAATTTTCAGCCCCATTCTCCATCTTCCAGAGAGAGAGAGGGGCTGGAAATGGAAGTAATGATTGATCATGCCTATGTGATTAAGCCTCCATAAAATCTCAAAAATACAGCATTCGGGTTGCTTCCAGATTGGTGAACACATGGAGGTGACAGGAGAATAGTGTGCCTGGAGAGGGCATGGGAGCTCCGCACTCCTTTCCTGGCCCTATGCATCTGTCCCATCTGGACGTTCATCTGTATCCTTTATCATACCCTTTTATAATAAGCTGGTAAACAGTAAGTAAACTATTTCCCCGGTTCTGTGAGCTGCTCTAACAGACTAATGGATCCCCAAAAGAGGGTCATGGGAATCTCTGATTTATAGCCCATTGGTGAGAAGCACAGGTGAGAACTTGGACTAGAGATTGGCATCTGAAGTGGGGTGAGGGCAGTTTTGTGGGACTGAGCCCTCAACCTGTGGGACTCAACACTATCTCCAGGCAGATAGTGTCAGAATGGAGTTAAATTAAAGGACACAGCTGGTGTCACAGAGTACTGCTTGGAGGGGACAAACTTTTACACACGTCCAGTGTCAGAAGTGCTGTGAGTATGGTAGTTGTGGGAGAGCAAAGGAGACACACAGGAGGAAGAGTGAGATTTTTCTACACACTAACAAACTACAGTGTGTACGGCCCAGTGTGTATTCCAAAACACTTTCCTAGGTTTTCTAACTCAATGCCCATGACAACCTTATAATATCAATGTCATTATTACTGCTATATGGATGGAGAAAAGGAGGCTTTTATAGGTCAAGTGACTTGCCCATCTCCAAAAAGCTAAAAATTATCAGAGCTAAAATGCAGACCCTGGTTCCCCTGCCCTATGAAGCTTAGTTAAAATGAGGGGCTTGGGTGAGATCTGGGGGTACGTGTGCGAGGCTGAGTTCCAAGAGCAATCTTTAATTTGCTGCTTTCTTTTTGATGACAATCTCAAAAAAAATTCCTAAACCATTTCTAATGACAAATCTTCCTATTTTCTGTGAAAAATCACTGAAGTGTTCATAGAGTAAGACTTTTTATGTGTTTTTCTCAAACTGGAACAAGGAATCTGTGGGTCCACAAAAATAGTGTCAGGGGTTTCATGAGATATTTTTTGTGTTTAAAGCAGTTGTAAATAGTATTCAAGTTTGAGAAATACTGCATCAGATGCTTTCAAAGGGAGACTCTGGCTCTAACATCTATTTTATAGATTTACTGTGAAGTAGGAGTTGAGTGACTGGTTAGATTCACTCACCATCTATTCACTCAGTCTTTTGTTTCATTACCCAATGTTAATTGAGTGCCTAGTATGGCTTGGGGCTACAGATGCCAGAAAATAACAGACTCTATTCCTGACTTTGTGGAGCAATGGTCTGTTAAGTGAGCAAGATGTGAGGAAAAAAGGTACCATAAAAATAAAACGATACAGTGACCTGTGCGCCGCAACATTTACAGTGTTTAGTGACGCACAGAAGGTGAGGAATTGCTTGTGTTTCAAGAAGAAGTCATTGTTGGGATGAAAGTCACAGGTAGGTCTACCAGGGGGAGCAAAGGATGAGTGGTGTCAGGGTCACTAGGATGAGGCACTCAGGGGACAAGACTGAAGGCTCCCATGCTCAGGTGTTGAGTCTACATTTGCACGATGACCCTGAGAGGGGGTGCCTCTTTGAATTTTGCATCCTAGTTGCTTCAGTCACCTCACCCTAGGCCTGGCCCAAGTTATATGGTGGAATTCTCTGTGGCCTCCCCAGATCCCCTTTGTTTGAGCAGGACATCCATCCCCTAGCTGCTGTGGAGTCAGCGACTAACAGCTCATGGCAGACCCTCTCTCCAGAGAATTACCTTCAGGCAAATGGAGGTTATATCACTTGCGATATTATGCCTCTTTCCCACTCCCCACCCAAGGGCCCCCCACAATTAACACTTACTGGCTTGAGATACAAAAAGAGAGAACCTGAAAGAGGGACTTCTGGAGTGGACCCATTTCCAACTGAAGTGGTGAAAATTATTAAAAAAAACCCCAAAACCATGGAAAGCCTCTGGAAATGGTCCCAAGGGCAGATAGCAACTGAAGAAATGTTTATGCAAGAAAACCTACTAGAATTCAGTATGAATAGCAAGAGTCAGTAGTATTTGAACCTAGGTTTGCTCCCTGCCTCCATCTTCCCAAGTCAGGGAGGTGGAAACCCCACTCCAGACTGGTTTAGCCAAGAACACTGGCTCCTACCCCTCTTTTCCAGCTCCTGGGTAGAGAGCTGCCTTCCTGAGAGAGCTCAGAATTTGTCATCTGGCCCCCAGCTATTTGTCGCAGGTAAGTGTGGCTATCTGGTGGGGGCTGCCATCTTCCACCCAGCCTGCACTCCTGAGGAGGAAGTTTTGCTTTGGGTGGGAGATCCCAATTGCGCTTGTCCCTGCTTGTAAGCAAGACAGTGATTTCTTGCCAGGAGAGGTAAGTCAAGGAGAATGAAACCTGGCCATGGAGGACATGCTGTGTCCCTTCCACTGAGTTCAAAGCATTCAAAGTCTAAACGAGTCACAGAACCAGAGAAGTGCTTTCCCTTCTGGGTACATATTCCAGCAGCTCAAGCTCTTCCTGGGCTCTGGAAGCATCCAGTCATCCTGACATCAGCATAAGGTGCAGGTTGAGACACTAGGACCCAATCCCTCTCTTATTCTCGACTCTTAGCAGGCACTGAGAATTATGAGAGGGAGCCAATTCTCTAATACTTTTTTTGTTTTTGTTTTTGTTTTGCTTATCAGCATGGCTGGGAAGGCTACTGGCATTTAATGGGCAGGAATAGTCCTATGCATCAAAGAATTATCCCACTCAAAGAGTCAGTTGTATTGAGGAAAACAATACTAAATCTCCTGAATGCTTATTTCTGACCTTGCTTTAATATGTAGCTAAAGATGGATTTGGCAGCACAGTTAGCCCCGTATCTTTTTTTGGTGCCCCAAACAAGGTACTGGATAACATGCTGAGCCAATATTCCTGGACCCCCAGCATGGGTGGGTACGGGTAGGTATTATGTTTCTGTCTCCTCCATTCTCAGAATTTGTTTCATGGTCTGACACTGGAATGGAATGTGTGCTCCCGATCACCCTCTCCGACCCAGACCCCACAGAAAGGAGGACCTTTTGGTCTAGCTCCTGTCACTGACATGAGGTAAGCTTCATCCGACCTGCCCCAAGATAGTCCTTCTCTGGCCTCAGTCTATGCAGAGGTCAGCAAGTAATTTCTATAAAAAGCCAGCTGGTACATCTTCAGGCTTTGTGACCCACACCCCCCTCTGTCACAACGACTCAACTCTGCCAGTGTAGTACAATGGCAGCAACAGATAGTTCATAAGCAAATGCACATGGCCATATTCCAGTAAAACTTTACTTATGGACACTGAAATTTGAATTTCATGTAATTTTCACATGTCATAAACGGTTATCCTTCTTTTGATTTGTTCCAACCATTTAAAAATGTACAAGCCACTCTTAGCTCATGGGCCACGTGCTTACTGCACGTGTAACCAGGCACTGTCTTTGCACTTCATGTTTGTTCTTGCAACAATGCTTTCAGATAGACACCATTGCTATTCTTGTTCTACAAATGAGAAAACTTAGGTATAGAGATATTGGTTTTTTTTTTATTTATATATGAAATTTATTGTCAAATTGGTTTCCATACAACACCCAGTGCTCATCCCAAAAGATGCCCTCCTCAATACCCATCACCCACCCTCTCCTCCCTCCCACCCCCCATCAACCCTCAGTTTGCTCTCAGTTCTCAACAGTCTCTTATGCTTTGGGGTATAGAGATATTGAATCACTCACTTCCTTGTCTTGTTCTGGAGTAGAACCAGAATTATCCCACAAGTCTGCCATGGATTCTAACAGGAAGGAGAAATTCACAGGCATAAACACGGGGCCTTGAAGAAATTTCAAATGACGGAAGGATCATCCCTAAGCCCAAAAAGCCTGCGGGAAAGGAAGCAGAGGAAAGGGAAGAAATGGCCAGGAAGGGAGTGGATCTTTAGGTCTTGGAGGCATAGGTACCCTTGTCTTCTTGTCAGCCTCAAAAAGATGCCCGTGTCTTTAGCAGGCACAGAGCAGGAGCATAGCAGAGCCCCGGCTCAGATGACCGATGACCAGATAGTCACCCTGCACAGCCATCTCTTGGACACAACTTATGGGTGGGGACCCCAGCCACGACTCCAGTTAGAGTCTTTTGCGAGGCCAGAGACGGAATTTAAGGTAAGCCAGAGGAAGTGAACGGACTTAGGTTTCTCACGTACCTGTGTTTATGGATTGAACGTCACAGCTCTTTGCTTGCTGAAGACATGTTTCTCAGGAGGATGGGGCCCAGGACGTGAATATCAGCACAAAATGATCCCTGGTGTACTCCCACCATCAGCCTCAATGTGTGGTTCTGGCACTGCCTCCCTGGCTTCATCCTGACACGCTGCTCCCCAAACTCAGTGACAGGGTCTGTTAAATCCGTGCCCCCCAGCAAGCTGTCCATGGCAGAAAGGCATTTGGAGGGGTGATTTGTTTCTCTGATTGCTATTTTTTAAGTCTCTAGACCAGTGTCAAAGGACATGTGAAATCTATTAAGAGAAAGCAGAGAGACAGCTGTAGCCATAGCCAAAAAAGAAGTCTTCCCAGTTTATGTTAAGAGTTTTTGCTGTAGTCTTCAACTCCTCACCAGCTTCCTAATTATGAAAACAGTGAAAAGTAGAGGTTAAGAATAAGTAGGTAAAGCTATTAAGATGAAGTCATCTTTTCAAGCAGGTAAAGGAATCAAATGAAAGGGGAGGAAAAGAGTTATGGTTCAAATGCCTGAAACAAACTCAAACCAGACAAAACCAGAGCTTAAGAACTCACGTGGTAACCGTAACGGCATGATTTAAATATAAAATTATTTTTAAGGAATTTAAAATAATGTAAATATGAGGATGAATATTGACAAAAAAGGACCAAATGACTTTGGGGGCCCCTGGGTGGCTCAATCAGTTAAGCGTCGGACTCTTGATTTCAGCTCAGGTCGTGATCTCATAGTTTGTGGGATCGAGCCCCGAGTCTGGCTCTGCACTGACAGTGTGGAACCTGCTTTGGATTCTCTGTCTCCCTCTCTTTCCGCCACTCCCCCACTCGTGCTCTCTCTCTCTCTCTCTCTCTCTCAAAAATAAACATTAAAAAAATTTTTTAAAGGACCAAATGACCTTTAAGATTGAAGAAATAAATCCTAAGCCAATATAGTGTGTTCAGATAGCAAAAGAGACTAAAAGAATAGAAATCATGAAATAAAAATAAGGAAGCTAATTTATAAATTAAGTTTTTATTGAACTATAGTTGATATACAATGTTATATTAGTTTCAGGTGTTCAACATAGTGATTCAACATTTATCTACATTACACTATGCTCACCACTGTAAGTGTTGTTACTGTCACCATGCAACGTTATTACAATATTATTGACTGTATTTCCTACGTTGCGCTTTTCATCCCTGTGACTTAGTTCTTTTATACGCCTAAATTTGTAGCTCTTAACCCCCTTTCCCTATGTCACTCATTCTCTCACTGCCCTCCCCATCTGGCAAACACTAGTACTAACTCTATATTTATGGGTCTATTTCTGTTTTTTTGTTTGTTTGTTTGTTTGTTTGTTTTGTTTTTTAGATTCCACACAGAAGTCAAATCATATGGTATTTACCTTTCTCTACCTGACTTCTTTAATTTAAGGTCTATCCATGTGTCACAAATGGCAAGAATTCCTTCCTTTTTTATGACTGAGTAATATTCCATTGCATATTACCACATCTTCTTTATCTGTTCTATTGATGGGCACTTGGGTTGCTTTTTTATCTTACCTATTGTAAATAATGCTGCAGTAAACATAGGAGTGCATATATCTTCTCAAATTAGTGTTTTTGTATTCTTTGGGTAAATACCCAGAAGTGGAATTTCTGGGTTGTATGGTAGTTCTATTTTTACATTTTTCAGGAACCTCCATACTCTTCTCTACAGTGGCTGCATCAATTTGGATTCCCACCAACAGTGCACAAGGGTTCCCTTTTCTCCACATCCTCTCTAACACTTGTTATTTCTTACCTTTTTGATACTAGCCATTTTGATTGGTGTGAGGTGTTATCTCATCGTGGTTTTGATTTGCATTTCCCTGATGATGAGTTATGTTTAGCATCTTTTCATGTGTCTGCTGTCCATCTGTATGTCTTCTTTGGAAAAATGCCTATTCAGGTCCTTGCCCATTTTTTTCAATTGAATTGTTTTGGTTTTTAGTGTTGAGTTTTATACTTTTTTTTAGATATATTTTGAATATTAGCTCCTTCTTAGATATACGAAAGCTGATTAATTTAAAATGTAAAGAATTTCTTGGGGCGCCTGGGTGGCGCAGTCGGTTAAGCGTCCGACTTCAGCCAGGTCACGATCTCGCGGTCCGTGAGTTCGAGCCCCGTGTCGGGCTCTGGGCTGATGGCTCGGAGCCTGGAGCCTGTTTCCGATTCTGTGTCTCCCTCTCTCTCTGCCCCTTCCCTGTTCATGCTCTGTCTCTCTCTGTCCCAAAAATGAATAAACGTTGAAAAAAAAAATTAAAAAAAAAATAATAAAATAAAATGTAAAGAATTTCTTAAAGAACATTGAAATAAGTAAAACCAAAAGATCAAAAATGTTGAAGATAACTTGTAACTGCTAAAGCATAGCAGGATTAAAAGAAGAAAAATATTAAAGGGAAAAAAACCAGTAATAAAAAGATTAAAAATCAAATACCATGTTAGAAAAATAAAATATTATTTAAAATGCCTACAAAATAAAAGTCTAAAAAGTTTAAAAAGATTAAAAGCAAACAAATATGAAAAGATTAGAAAGGTAAAACTGGAAAATAGATAAAGACTTTAAAAGGTGAAAAAATAACACCATTTGAAATAATTCAAAGCATCCTAAGTTAGAACAAAAACCAGAGAATTCTAAAGTACAAAGATAAAATTATTTCAGACTAAATCCTTATTAAGGAAAAATATACTCATGACAAATGGTCAAAGGTGAGTGTCTAAGCATGAATTTTGGGCTGAAGCAGCCCTATAGGGAGGTGAAAGGGGGTCCAGGGTGGGAGCAGCGAAAGCGGGCAGGGCTCGTGCCCTTGCGGAAGCCCCTTGAAGGATGCTGCAGGAGAAGCCACACTGCAGGAATAAGCAGCTGACAGCCAAATCTGTCAAGCCGACTGGGCTTCCAGGAGGCCCCTTCTCCCCCTTATATGTGCCAGTCACAGCTGCAGCAGTCGATAATGGTCTGTGGTGGCGTTGGGCACCTTTTTACACTCAGGGTCACAGACAGCACAGGACAGGAGTAAATGAGCACACCAGTTTTGAATACAAATTAACTCACCCTTCTTAGCTACATGTTCTTAGGTAAATTTCCTAAGTTCTCTAAGGCTCAGGCTTCTCATGAGAAAAGTGCGAATAGTATACCTACCTTATGATGCCTTTTGGAAGATTCTACAAATTCTGTTACAAGTAATCAACAAAGGATAGTATTTATCCTTAATTCACTAGGAGGAAGAAAGTCCATTTGCCTTGCAGCTATACAGGAAAAAAAATTTTTTTAAGGTGTTAAGATTTTTTGAAGAACCAGAAAATGTTGAACCATGCCATCTTTTTTTTTTAACTTAAAATAACACAAATTTATTATCTTACATTTCTGGAGCTCAAAAGTCCTAAAATCAAGTTATCAGCGGAGCTAAATTCTTCCTGCAGATGTAGAGGAGAATCTATTTCCTTGCCCTTTCTAGCCTCTAGAGGCATGCGTGTGATGTGTGTGCACTCTCTTTCTCTCTTTCCCCCTCCCTCCCCCTCTCCCCCCCCCCCCCCCCCCCCCCCATCTATCACTCATTTCTATAGTCACGATCTCCTTCTCTGACTCTCCTGGACCTCCCCTTCCCCCCTTCCCACCACCAAGGAATCCTGATTACATCATGGCCACCTGAGCAATCTAGGATATTCTCTCCATCTCAAGATCCTTAACTTAATCATACTTACAAAGTCCTCTTGCCATATAAAATGATATATTTACAGGTTATGGGGATTAGGACATGGATGTCTTTAGGGGACCATTATTCTGTCTACCATATCCCCTATGAGGATTAACCTAGTATCCGTCTTAAGGTGCCCTAACTCTTTAAGCCCTAGCTCGTATTAGGGGAGGATTATTCACATCTACCTCAGAGGAACTTCTACCGTATCAGACCTCTGCAGTTGAGAATATTCCCCTGACTTTTTACGTATGCAAATGGGGCCCAGTGCTCAGTCCAGGGGCAAACAGAGAGCCCTTCCCAAAAAGGGTATGGAGGAGTGGAGCCCAGCGGTTTGTGGTGAAAGTCAAGGGAACACTGTACTCTGGGCATGTTACTGTCCTAGCTATCCAGGAATTCATAAGAAAGGTAAAACAGTGAGAACTTATTGGAAGGAGGAAGGAAACTCAACCAGCTTCCTCAACTTTCTTAGCTGCACTTATACAGACTCGTGTGTGTGTGTGTGTGTGTGTGTGTGTGTGTGTGTGTGTGTGGTAAAATTCACACAATAAAATTCACCATCTCAACCATCTTAAAGTGTACAATTCAGTGGCATTAGCACATTTATAATGTTATTTAACCATCACCACTAACTAGTTAGAGAATGTTTTCATCACTGCAAAAGGAAACCCTGTACCCACTAAATAGTCACTCCCCATTTCCCTCATCTCCAACCTTTGGCAACCACTCCTCTACTTCTGCCCATGTAGAATGTCATATTCAGATAGTTCATACAAATGGAGACATACAAAATGTGGTCTTTTGCATCTGGCTTCTTTCACCTAGAACAATGTTTTCAAAGTCCATCCATACTGTAGTATGTATCAGTAGTTCATTATTTTTTGTGGCCAAATAATATTACGTTTTATAGATATACCACCTTTGTTTATCTGTTCATCAGTTGATGGACATTTGGATTGTTTCCAACTTTTGGCTCTTGTGAGTAATGCTGCTATAAGCATTCATCTATGAGGTTTGTTTTTTTTAACATCCGTTTTCAGTTTGGGGTACACACCTAAGAGTGGGATTGGAGAGTCATATGATAATTATGTGTTTAATGGGCCATCTTTTATTTAAAAAAAAATTTTTTTTTTCAACGTTTTTATTTTATTTTTTTGGGACAGAGAGAGACAGAGCATGAACGGGGGAGGGGCAGAGAGAGAGGGAGACACAGAATCGGAAACAGGCTCCAGGCTCTGAGCCATCAGCCCAGAGCCCGATGCGGGGCTCGAACTCACATACCGCGAGATCGTGACCTGGCTGAAGTCGGACGCCTAACCGACTGCGCCACCCAGGCGCCCCTAAAAAAAAAAAAAAATTTTTAATGGCCCATCTTTTAAAAATACAACATAAATAAAACTTAAGTAAATTCAGCAAAAAAAAAA